ATAACTGATTAAAAAATTTTATAACCAGATATTTTTACTCCAGCAATGCAGAAACAAAGCCAGAAATGCTCCCTCACCCTCTAAATTTTTTTTAAATCGAAAAAACCACCCTCAAATAGAAACATTCAAATTTAAGAAGTAAAAAAATATTAAATTACCGGCTTTTTTTAAAAACAGAACCTTACATGTTTGTAGTTTTGCTCTACTAATTAAAAAAAATAAAGCCAGCATTGACTCATCACCCTCTGAATTTTTTTAATCGAAAAAACTACCCCTAATCTGAAGAATCAAATTCAGGAGATAAAACAACAAAATAACTGATTGACAAATTTTATAAGCAGATATTTTTACTCCAGCAATGCAGAAACAAAGCCAGAAATGCTCCCTCACCCTCTAAATTTTTTTTAAATCGAAAAAACCACCCTTAAATAGAAAAATTCAAATTTAAGAAGTAAAAAAATATTAAATTACCGGCTTTTTTTAAAAACAGAACCTTACATGTATGCAGTTTTGCTCTACTAACTCAAAAAAATAAAGCTAGCATTGATCCATCACCCTCTGAATTTTTTTAAATACAAAAAAACTACCCTTAATCTGAAGAATCAAACTTAGGAGGTAAAACAATAAAATAACTGATTAAAATTTTATAACTAGGTATTTTTACTCCAGCAATGCGGAAACATACCTGGCTGTAAAATTTTTCAATCAGTTATTATATTGTATTACCTCCTGAATTTAATTCTTCAGATTAGGGGTAGTTTTTTCGATTAAAAAAAATCAGGGGGTGCTGGATCAATGATGGCTTTGTTTTTTTGAGTTAGTAGAGCAAAACTGCATACATGTAAGGTTCTGTTTTTAAAAAAAGCCGGTAATTTAATATTTTTTTACTTCTTAAATTTGAATTTTTCTATTTAAGGCTTTGTTTCTGCATTGCTGGAGTAAAAATATCTGGTTATAAAATTTTTTAATCAGTTATTTTATTGTTTTACCTCCTGAATTTGATTCTTCAGATTAGGGGTAGTTTTTTCGATTAAAAAAATTCAGGGGGTGCTGGATCAATGCTGGCTCTGTTTTTGAGTTAGTGGAGCAAAGTTTCGTAGATGTAAAATTTGGTTTTTTTAAAAAATAAGTTGATTTATTTTTTATCTCACAGAAAAAACCTGAATTCAAATTGAGTATAGATTCTATACTCAATTTGATTCGCAACAAAAATGAAACTGGTTGTTTCATTTCGAGTTCTAAGGTAAAAGTATCAAAATGAAACAGGCAAGTTTCATTTTGAGAAAAAGAAAAATGGAAAAATATTGTGAAATAACGAATAATTTTACACAAAAACATGAAATATAATAATTACAAAGAAGTAAATAACACGCTAGACTTAATATATTTGATTAAAAATTGCTTGTAATCGCGTAATAAAATAATAAAGGAAATATGTTTTTAGGTTAGAAAAATGAAAACATGTGTTTTGACAACAGGAACGGTACTGCCAACTTAAATAATAGCGGTAAATTTAAAAACTTATGAAATTAATTATTATCTACGTAAATAATAATAAATAATTTTTATTTAAAAACTTCTAAATATTCGTACTGGTCAAAATAATCTTTCTGGTGTTGTTGAAATATTAGAAACAATAATTGAAATACAAAATTACTCTGCTTATGATGCCAACTTAGAAATCTGAAATTCCAGCCAATATCATTTTGAATAACATGAAGTTTGTACCATACTCATTTCGATACCCAAAAGAAAATGAGTTGCAACAAAAATGAGTCCAAGTTTTTTCTGTGCTCCGAAGTGTGAATTTGTCCGTTTAAGGGTGGTTTTGGTCGATTTAAAAAAATACTGATGGTGATGGAGCAATTCTGAGCTCAGATTCGGTTTCAGCGGGCCAAAATACTATAGGAAATATATGTGTAGTTCAAGAAACAGACAACTTTTTTTTTTTTGTGTGCCTGTGTAATCGATAGCAGATTTTCGTAGGTCATATCACCAGTTACATTTGCATTAAAATCTGTGGAACATGCAGCTTCTGAATCAAATTCTTTGACCTGAAACCAAAAAATTATTTTGAATTGAAATTTGTTGTTAAATAATATTTAATATACATTTTGTATTCTTTAAGGTGAGGTTATGTTCAATAGTAACCGTGTATAACTTACCGATAAACTATGAAATTGTCTCTTCATCTATTCACTACACTTGCAAAAGATTTCTCACCTTAACCGTATTCATTATTATTTAACAGCACTTTGTCATTTAAAAAGAAAACTAATAATAAAAGCAAAAGTGGCACATGTGCCAGAAGCAAACGACGCGACAATCTGCACGCCAGTTTGAGAGAATTCAAGATGAACACGTGACATGGAACAATAAACCTGTCAGCTAAACAAATCCGGATTGTTCCATCAGCAATAGACAGAGAGTTTGCATCTGCAACTGTACGGAATTGCAAACTGAACAAATCTGACAACAAAAAATTCATGTTGTTGTTAAAACAACATACATTTGTATTGACAACAATCCGAATTGTAATATCAACAAATCTACTGACAACAATCCAAAAATTGTTTGCACAGCAATCCAATTTTTCTCCGTGATATTCAATGAAATTTTAAATAAAATAATTTTTGTGACATTTAAAAAAAAAATAAAATTTTTTGTTTTGTTTTGATTTAATAAAATAACGTGTAAGACAATAATTTATGCATCGAAACAAAAGATTTCATACACAAACGTTAACTTTGCATAAAAATGTATATGAATTTCAATGTATATATATGTCAAGATAAAAAATGCAATTAAACATAATAGAGGAATTATATGCGGATAATATTTTTAGTGAAAACACAAAATAAATGAGTTTCCCATAATAATGAAGACAGAAAATGATGTCTTTTTGCCGTCGAGAAAGCTTATCTTTGATACACTTATATAATTCCCACCGTCAGGCAAGAATTTTAATTGAAAATTAATTGTGATTTTTAACATTATACTTTTTGAAAAGGCATATTTAATGATGAAAAGCTAAAGAAAATGTTATATAATATATACAGGGTGATTTTTATATTCCGGACCCCCTAAATTTTTTTTTTTAATTTCACTTTTATTTGTTTAAAAAACGAAAAAAATGAGATTGAAAAAAAAAATTTTTAGAGGATCCGGAACATAAAAGTCACCCTGTATATTTATTTGAACCGAAGTCAAAAAATAAAAATTAATTATCTTTAATTTTGTAACATTAATGTATATTATTCTTGGTAATCGATAAAAAAAATATTTAAAAAAAGTATATGAACAGTATGTAATGACAAAATAAATTTAAATTAAATATAATAATAAAATATCGTTTTTTTATAGTGTAGTTTATTATTTGATAATTTATTTGGTTTAAGTATTATATATTTAATAGATAATAGATTTATTTGATATGTATACACATAAATTTTTTTTTCCAGCATATTTTCCCCTAGCGCGCAGCATCCCTTTATTTTTACTTAATCTTATAATTGACACAAAACATAAAATTTACTCTCGATTATTGATTGATATATTCGCTGCATTTCACAGTCAATTAAAAATGATAAATGGGCAGATTGTATTTTAATTTTCAGAACAAAAAATTCCTATTTATATACAACCTAGATTTTTTTTTAGGTTATTAAAACAAAGTTTTGTATATAACGCTATATAAAACAGTGAATTTTTGAAATAAGATAATATATATTTTTTTAACCCATTTAGAAAACCTTGTGATCAATTTTAAAAAAGTTAGTTTTTATACATACATATGTGGGTTAAAATATATAATTCTATGAAAATAAAAAAAATATACAATTAATAAAAATCTCTTTGCAATTGTGAATTTCAGAATTATCAAATTGATTATTAGATTTTATTATTAAATTGGGACGCATGAATAAACTTTAAGTATCATTAGTTAGAATTTTTATTTTATAGAATTTCATTTGACATAATTATCTTTCAGCCGAATTCAAATTATTGCAGAATTTTAATTAAATCGATTTTCTATATTACAGAATTTTTATATATGAATTTTAATTTAACAGAATTCTCATTTAATCGAATTTTTAAATGACAAAAATTCCATTTCATCGAATTTTTATTTGTACGAATTTTTAAGACGCCGAATTTTTATATATGTCCGAAATTACAAATGGCCGAAATCTTTCCGTCTATTGTTCTTTCGGCCATTAGTAATTTCGGACATATGAAAATTCGGTAAATTAGAATTTCTGTCATTTAAAAATTTGAATCACATAAAATTCTTTTAAATTAAAATTTGATTAAATAAAAATACTGCCAAAAAGAAAATCGTTGAGCTAAAAATTTTCACAGAAAATTAAAAAGGCATTAAAATAAGCTGCAACGCTTATTATTTTAATCCAATTTTGCTTATTTTAATCCATTTTGGTATTAAAATAAGCAAAATTGGATTAAAATAATAAGCGTTGCAGCTTATTTTAATGCCTTTTAATTTTCTGTGTTGTTATGTAAAAATTCGTATAAAAAGAAAATCTGTCAAATTTTAAATCAAAAATTGTAAATTCGTCTAAAAAATAATTATTTCTATTAAAATTCTTTTAAAATGGAAATTTTAGAAGAAATTAATCTTAATGCTCAATCATACACGTCTCATAAATTCGATTAATTAGAATTCAGTCATAAAAGTCAGTTATAAAGTGATTATTATAGAGAGACAAAGAATTGAATGAGCCAAAAATACTATATTTTCCACCTACGCAATAATGGGAGTCTCTTGTGAGGTCAGAAATCGCTGCTCTTCGTCGGATGGAAGGGGGGTTGAAATTATCTTCATCAAATAAAACAAGAGGATGACGTTTGAAAAAGGGGGTTGAAGTCTCTCTCTCTCTCTCTCACTCTCTCCTTTTCGTGTATACGCATTAAATGTAAACACAGCTAAGTTTTCGCGCTTGCGTGGCTCCCACCATAAGTAGAGGAAAGTATATAGAAGAGCATAGAAACCATCGTCGACACATTGCACATTCTGATAACGAAGAGCAGGGTGGACTTGCAGAAAGTGGGTAACAAGTGTCAGCAAAATTGCATGTATGAAAAATTAAGGATACAAAACAAAAATTTTTTTCGCGCTAAAATTAAAAATTATTTTCAAAAAAAATTCTCTAACAATTTTATAATAACAGTTGATTGATAAAAGACAAGAAAAAAAATTTTTTTTTCAATATATATATAAATTTCAATTCAATTAAAAAATCAGATATATAGTGTCTAAAGAAGAAACAACAAAAGAGAAGAGAGAAAAAATTTATTTTTTTTTTTTGAGAAAAAAACAGTGTAATTTGGATATAATAGGAAATTTCGAATTTTACCTCATGTTTGATAAGAACATATACAACGAGAGACTGAGAGGGATTTAAATTAGGAGATCATTGTGATCCAAGCAAAAAAAAAAAGCGATCAAAACGAAGCACAAACGCGATCATACAAATGGCGAACACGATATTTGGAATAATTTCTAATTATTTTATTCTTTTTGCCATTACGTTAATTGTACCCGGAATTTTTGCTCGCACAATTTATGACAAAAGTATTTCAAATCAAGAATTAAACAACGTGGACTACAATGATTATAATTTGGATGAATATCAGGTGAGTGGCAATTATTATTATTATTATCTCCTCATTATTATTAATAAATAAAAAAATAAATAAAAATCAAATATAAATTTTATTAATTTTTTTTTCATAATAATTAATAAATTTTTATTTTATTTAAATATCTTTTTTATTCATTTTTATATATAAATTAAAAAATTTTATATTCATAGATGGATTTTTTTTTAATATAATAAAATTAAATATTTAAATTTTATTCCAAAACTCTTAAATTATATTTACAAATTTAATTGTAATAATTAATTATATTTACCTATTAATAAAGTAAATAAAAACTAAAACAGTTACTAATTTTTAATATTATTAATTTATAATTCTTTTATAATAAAAATTGTAATAACAATTTTTTTTTTAAATTTTTTACATTATTACAATAATAGTAATAATAACAATAAAATAATAATGAAAAATAATAGCAAATTATTATGTAACACACTTGTCACAAAAGTATCAAAGAAATTAAACAATTAACGGTTTTTGAACATCGATTTTCAAACAAGAGAAGTGATCTAATTTTCACAATGCGAGTAAATGTAATTTCACTTATTTGCTACATTATTACGTGTCAATCAAAAATATCATTATTTAAAAGCAAAGTCAAAGATACAATCGAATTTTAATTAAAACTTTTATAATTAATAATAAATTTAAATCAACTATATATTATTTATAATTCAAAAAACGTAAGTAAAAGACAATAATATACATATTGAATTTATATTGTCATCTAATAATATGTTATATTAATAATTTATTTTATATTTTTGTTGAAAATAAAAAAGTCAACTAATAATTCTTAAATATAAATATAAACACTTAATTTATCTTAAATAAAAAAAAATCAATTATTTGTTAGTTTATTAATTTAATTAATTTTTTTCAATTTTCAATATGAATATTTAAATATACTTTGATATAAGTAAATTGGAACAAGCGAAATTAAGTTATATTTATTAATGGACTTTTGTGAATTACATTTAATCCTTTGAATGTCAGAGTATTTTCCAAAGCATTACATTTTGATTATTATAATTATAATAAACTAACATTATCTATAATAAACAAATTCGATTTTACTAAAATTATATGTCAGCTTTATTTTATGATTATTCGAAATTAACTCTTGGTAATTATCATAATTGCATAATACAATTTAACTAAATATATATTGTTTGTTTAATTTTTTTATTACTATGTAAGCTGGCATTCTATATAGTAAATGTCGTACCAACAAAAGACTAATTCATGTATCGGAAAATTTTCAAAAAGAATTTTTTTTTTTCTATGGAAGTTATAAATGAAATTTTAAATCAACAATAAAGAATTTTATAAGCTTTCATGAACTTTATAATAATGATAAAAATGAATATATATAAAATGTTTTCAATGCCTTTAAAAAAAAATGCAACTTTTTATTTTTTAGTGTAACAAAATGTTAATCCTCTTCAATGAAGAGGATATTAATCACATAGAACATAACCTCTTTGAAAATTAACTCAATGCATTGAGAAAAAAAATTTATTTGATTTTAAATAATCGATTACTTAACTAATTATCAAATAAATATTTATTTGTATTAATAATTATTATTATTTGAATCAGTATTTGCTGTTTCAAATTTTGATAAATTATTGGTTCAAATACAATTTATTTAATTGAAATGAAAATTATTTGGATCAAGTAAATATTTATTTAATGTTAGACAATATCAATATTATTATATTAAAAGTTCAAATTATTGCGAAACAACTAAATTTTGGCTAAATCAACTAAAAGTTTATTTGGTTTAATAAAATTCTTTCTTTAATTGAAAAATTTATTAAAATAAACCAAACTTTAATTTACATCAAAATAAATAGTTATTTGAATCAAACAAAATTTGCTTGAAATAAGCAAAACATTGTGTTAATAAAAAAAATAGTATATTTGGTACAAATAAAACTTTCCTCTGAGTGTACGTGTATTAGAAAAAAAATAGAAGAATATTCAAAATTAAACATAATTAATTAAAAATTAAAATTCTTTTGAAGTTAATTTTTTTTAATTAATATAATATTATAAACAAATGTTTTTATTTATTATTGTTTTATAAATATTATATTTATAAATTTGCCCAACTATTTTATTGTCAATCCTATATATTCAAAATCACCGCAGGGTATTTCAGAACTTATGATTATGAAATTTTCATGTAAGTTAGGAAAAAAAAGTGTTGCCACATAAATGTAACTTATTTAAGAAGAACCACAGAAGAATGTTGAGTCTAACCACGTCAACCGTGAGTAAAAATTTTCTTAGATTTTTGGAAAAATGAAAGCAATTGTGAAAATCTGTAGCTCACAACAAACCAAAAAAAACACTAAACCGCTTTTCAAAATTTTAAATTTTTATTACCTTTTTTTATAATAACAAATTTTTGCATCATTTAAACAAAAAATTAATATCTCAAATTTTGTTGGCTAGAAATTATTGGCAATTTTTTTTTGTAGTTAATGAATATCCACTCTTTTAAATAAACTTAATTGTGAAAAAAAATTTTTAATTTTTAATAACAATTTGTATTTTTTATACTTTCTATAGCAAGGATTATAATGAAATTTATATGTAACATACCTTGGACCGGTATAACCGGAGATTTTTAATTTTTTTTTACCCCCGAGTAATTAGTTTAATTTAAATTAATCAATGTCATTGCCTAAAATAACAATTTGTTTATAACAATTTACTATAATTTAAAGTATTTTTTTTTTTTTTTTTGATTCGTTATGAGCTACAGATTTTCACAATTGCTTTTATTTGTCCAAAAATCTAGAAAATTTTTACTCACGGTTGACGTGGTTTGACTCTGTTGTTGGCAATATGACTTAAATAAAGATTTAAAAAATTTTCAATTTTCAAATTTTCACGAAGCGAAAAATGAAAAATTGCTGTTTTGGATTTTAAAATACAACTCTAGCCGACAATAGTTTAAAATATAATTTATTTTTTGTTGATTAAAAAACCTTTCTTAATTTTATTATACCCACGACTCTCATTCGCTTTATTTCAATTCTCGTATGAACATTAAATCTTCATGATTTCTGTTTTTTTTTTCTTTTTTTTTTTTTTTTTTTTTTTGTTAAAGGTATATATAATCTTAACGACCCTTTTCCTATATAGTTCATATAATGCGTCAAGTTTGAATTTCTTTATATATTTCTATGTCAAGATAAATCTGATATTTCTGATTTCTCTCATACTGTAATCGAGTCCTTCAATCGTGTTATATTGTTTAATTATTTCATGGACATTACATTTCTGTCGATAAGTTTCAGCATCTCAAGAAAATGTAGAATATTGAATTTCAATTTCAATAGATTTACTGGAAAAATAAAGTAACGCAATAATGAAAAAATATCTACACTGGAAAAAAATTTTTTTTTCTTTTTTCAATTAAGAATTATTGAGTAATGTAAATAAATATCTATTAGATAATAATAATATGATAATTTATGATTGTATAAGAGAAATTGAGTATTATTATAACTTAAAATACTTTTTTTTATAATAATGGAAATGTTTTAACAATTTTTATTTTACAAAAAGTGTTTCACTATATGTACTAAGAAGCATTTCTAAAATTTCCATAATATCATTGTTGCATTCCTACATTCCACTTTGAATTTATTGTTTTCCAGTATAATCATAACTGCTCGTATACACACATATATGCGGAAACTTCTCCATACGATAAATGACAACTTGTTTAAGTATGTATATTAAACTTTCTAACGCTTTTTACGAAAGGGAAAATTAGGTCACTTATTTTATTTTTACATTATACAAAACATAATAAAAATATGCAAATTTTCATTCTTCATTTGAATTATTATCGCGCACAAAAAAAGTTAAGAAATAAATGAGGACATTCTTGACACATTATAATGACAGTATTCAAAATGAGCCATATCAAGTTTTTAAACTATAACAAAAATATATAATATATAATAAAATAAAATAATTTACATAATAATTATATTAGTTGTAAAAACATTAATTATTAACTATTTCATTAAATTCGTTTAATATTATTATTATTACAAGTGAATTTAGTAGAATTTTATAAAGTCAATTTTATAATAAGCCGAATTTTCCTATCAAAGATTTTCTATTTAACTAAATTCTGATTTAATAGAACTTCTATTTAACTGAACTTTAATAGAAGACTTTCTAACACATTGTATTTTTAAATAATAAAATTTCTATTTAACAGAATTTATGTCTATAGTAAAATTCTCTTAAAATAGAATTTTTATTTAATAGATTTGTTCTTTTATCAAATTTTTATTTATCTAAATAAATTACTTGACAATATTTTCATTCGGACAAATAAAAGTTCGGTCAAACGGAGTTTCGGTGTGAATTTTTATTTTTTCGATTTATTATTTAACAGAAATTCCATCAAACCAAATTTCTATATTACAGAATTGTTACTAAAAATGAATTTTCATTTTACAGATTTTTTATTTCATTGAATTTCAATTTGACAGAATTATTATTTGTTCGAATTTTCATTAAGTAGAATATAACCTAAAATTTTTATTTTACAGAAAGAATAATAGAAAAAATGCTTTTCGATCCGAATTTTTATTTGGTCGAATTTACATTTTACACCGAATTTTTATTTTACAGAACTTTCATTTGTCCGAATGAAAATCTGACATAAAAATTTAGGCACAAAATTTTAAATTGACGAATCAGAAGTTATCAACGAAATTATAATCAAATATGTATTTATTCGGATAAATGAAAATTCTGCGAAAAATAAAAAGTGAAAAATAAAAGTGTTTTAAGAATTCTGTCAAATTTTAATTCGAATAAATAAAAGTTGGGCTAATAATTTTCTTGTGAAATAAAAATTCTTTTAAATGACTATTTTGTTTAATTGAAAATTTGAAAATAATTCTGTCAAATTTAAATTCGATGAAATAAAA